CATCTTATTTTTCTGATTGTACAATACCTTTGGGATAAACATACTTATCTTCAAGGACTGGTAGTGACTTGCGCAGACACTTTTTTTCCCCAAGAAGGGCACGTGTATTTTCTGGGGAAGAGAGGAGAAAAATCTATGTCATCTGCTGACTTGTTACTTTATTTTGCTCTTTAAACTGATAAGACCACTTTGTGTAAAAGTAATACAGGAAATGATGCATTGCAAAAACCAAAAGTGGTAGAAAGGAAAACGGAATGTACTGGCAAAAGCTCAGAACCATGGATACACTTTATAATTCTTGGAAATGAAAAAACTTCACCTATGCTATCTCTTTTTTTTTCTTAGTTTAATACTGTTTTGACACTAGAATTCAGTGTTAGAGCAGTTCATAGCAGACTTCAGTGTGTAACAGTTTCAACACAATTAATTTAGAAATGTGTGTTGTCTTTGTCCCATTTATTTTGAATAGATTATCCCGCGTAGCAAAATGTAAGTAACTTTAAAAAAAAGCAGTCCTAAAGCAGACTATGGTGCATGTCCTTAGAGAGAGCTGGCTAGTCATATGATGCTGGCATTTCCAGCTGCTAAATTTCATGCACTTCAGTGATGGCTAGAAATATAGGCTTTCCTAATATTACTTTTTCTGTGCAGTTGCCACTGGGATGTAAAGGAATTTTGAAGGGGTAGAAATGTGGTTCATAAAACCCTGCCCTAGTCTGTTGTTATGCAATGTAGTATAGATGGGTGAAATATAAATGTGGGATAAGTCCTGTTGAGTCTTGTAGAACTAGTGTACAAGTCCTTGCTTCCATAGAGTGTGTGTTTTTAGCCACTGCTAAATGTACAGAATACCTTGGTATGACACTTACTTTTTAAAACCGTGAAGGAGTTATTTTTGAAAGCAGAAAAAATTGCAAATCTTGTTCACCTTCCACATTAGAATCAATGAGACTACTAGTTTGTGCAAGCAGGATTTGATCTATTGTGTTAAAGCAGTTCAGTAGCAATAAATGAAGCCCGAATGAAGATACCCACAACTAGTTAATGTTCAGCAACTGGCATTAAAAGGACACCATTATGTAGGCCCAAGATTTAGGGTTTGTAAAAATAAAATTGATTAGTTTAAAATCTCTCCATTCTAATGGAAACAGTTTAAAAAAAAAAAGAGGAAATAAACATTCAAATGGCTAAAACTTAATGAGAAACATGTAGTATTGTGCTAGTGGATGTGAACCTGGAAGCAGACTATAAATAAAAGTGAAACTGGTGTGTTTTTTTCATTGTCCAATCTGGAAGGATTGACATTGTTGCCGGCACAGAGGGCCTGAGGGGGGCAACAGTGGGGTTCGTTGCCTGGTGTGCTTCGTGCCAATGAACACACCAGGGTGGAGAAGCAGACAAAGTTTATTCAAGAGCTCTGAATAGGCACTAGGAGACCAGCATGTCTCAAATCAAGCGCTCTGATACAAGCAGTTTTTCCCTTTTTATCCTTTCCTTCCTCCCCCCCCCCCCTTCCCTACCTTCCCCCCTTCCTCCCCCTGTAGCAGTTACATTAAAGAACCTTGGCTGTGTAGCTTGTTCTCAATGTTCCCTTCTGCAAGTTATTTTGTCCTTCAGCTAGAAGCATGTAGGTTCCCCTTATCACTACCGCTTTCTAGCTGCTGGTCTGTGAGGTTAGTAAAGTTTAACATGGAGGGGCTTTGGTTCACTTTGGCCTAGAGTGGGGGGGCTTCATCGACTCTCGTGGTCTTCCACCCCCCTGAGTTACCAAGGGTAATGCCTAGTGACACCAACAACATAAAGAGTGGAATATTAACTTTCAAAATTATTTCATGTGGAATAACCTAAGCTTGTAGTAACATAGAGAAGGCTCTTTTTAAATTGAAACTTTTAACCTGTTAGGTTCCTTTTTTTATTATTATTATTTTTAATTTTTTTATAAAGGAATGCTATTAGCCTGTGCAGTTTTGGAAATCTGATCAGAGCTCAAACAGCTGGTTATTTTAGATGCGTCCCTGAAGTCACAGCCACATTTGGGAAAGGAGGAAAATCTCTCACTCTCTCTCTCTCTCTGTTACATATTAGAGAGTATTCTGAGAGTCAAGACTAACTTCCATTACTTGCCAGTATACTCTAACCAGACTTGGAGCTCTGATGATGAGGTTCTTAACTTATCACAGCACTTAATGGAGCACTTCACAGTGCACATAAGGATAAAATCATATCCAGAGCACATTCAGTGGTAGTAATTGAGTTTGAGTTCATCAAATACAGCAAATGTCCAGGTAACTGAATATATTCTTTATTTTGCTCCAGGCTCATGAAAATCTTCCCATTTCATTGACAATACTGTACAAAATTTGATTACTTGAATTCTTAAAGCTTTCTTAAGAGTGGGATAAACTAGCACCAAGTACAGACCTGGATTAGTTATAAACAGTGTTGACATTTATTTTTTGCATATTTTATATTTCATACAACTTCAAGAGCAACATCATCCGAACATTTTCATGACAAAATACTTTAAGGTGTTTCATTTTAATTGAAAGTACTCCAGGTATGTTGATGCATATGGCAAAACCACTGAATAAACTGGTGACAAATCCTCATTCTGGCAGAGTCCACTAAATAAATGTAAAAATATATTTGGTGACACATAGCTTCTGTCACTTTAAAGATATCTCTTGTTATGTACCAACAATTAATGCTGAAGACTTGGTGTATGATTCTGTTCAAAACTGCATGTGATTACATCTTGTTTTTTTCCCCAGATGGCAACAGTTTACCCCAGTTATCTAAAATTGTCTTTTCATCATTTAAAATAACAACCTGAAACTATCATGTGGCCCCTGGGAGGGGTCCATATGAAGTCATGATGGCTACTTTCTACAGCCTGCATGTGTGGCTTGCATTTTTTTAATGTGACATGGGTATTGACAAAGAGCTCCTTGGTTTTAAATCTTTTGTGTTAAGTTTTAAGTCAGTCTTTGAAAAATAACTTATTGAGATGAACAAGCTGACCTAATTTATTTCAGGTCACAGTATTCACAAACTCTCTAGTTGCAGTGGCTTTCAAACTCTGGTCCCTATATCACTGGTGATCTGCAGAATGCTGGATGGTCATGTGCTTCTGGCTCTCCTTGTTATCAGCTTCTAAGATGAAGACAGCTAAAAATACTTTTTCCACCTAAGCATTTGCTATAAACTCCATAGGGCTGTTAAATTTGTGAATGGAAGGCAGGGTGGGTTGATTTAAATCATAAATTTTAATCATGATTTAAATCAGCAAGAAGGAAACCTTGATTTAACTAATGTATTGTAGTTTTGTTCTTTTTTTTTTTTTCCTTTTTCTTTTATAAAGACAGATTGAGTCTCATTGGCTGGTAACATTAAAACATTGATTTTCAACTAAACATAGCTTTTACACTAAATTTGGTACTTTTTTTGCTAACCAGGAAGATATACTGTATCTACAGACATTTATTTAAGCAGTAATATAGTTTTAACAGATTTATTCAGGTTCTTATTGTTTATATTTTCACTATGTTAGAAAATGGTGAATGATTCATTTACTAGCTTAATTTTTTACTTTTGATTTGATTTGCAACAAGCTGTTTGCATAGAAATTGGTTTTCTTTTAAAATGCACTAAACCAGGGATCTCAAACTCAAATCACCATGAGGGCCAAATGAGGATTACATTGGCCCAAGGGCCGCATCACTGATACCTTTTCATATAAAGATACAAAAGCCTGCACCAACCCCCCCACTCCATCCCTTCCATGAGGCCCCACCTCTTCCCACCCCTTCCTCGCCCTCATTCCAGCCCCTTCACTGAAGTCCCCACCCTTGCCCTGCCTCTTCTCTGCCTCCCCTGAGCACATGGCTCCCCACTCCT